AGAGAAAGGAAGAGCGGGAACACAATGGGATTTGTATGAAACGCATGAACAGTGAAATGTCGGACAATGGATTGATGTTTTGCAACAGGAACAGTCCAGTTCGATATGATGGATTGATATTTTGCAAATGAACGATTTACGATATGGTTTTCCTATTTTACCAATTAACTCTGTAATTTGCGATAAATACGATTCTGTTGCCTTCACCTGTGTTCTCCTTCACTATAGGCGGCTTATGCTCTACTAGGAGTAATAGACGAAAGTAAGGTAAGTAAGTAAGATCACTGTGTGAGCGGTTTTCCTCACATCCTTAGTAATGATTCGATTCTGCTGAAAATGTGCAATTTTAATTTCCTATGTAAGTAAACATGACACTTTGAATGTGTGTGAAAGCATGCAACTGAATGAACCAAGTTCAGTTTTTGCGGTACTTGTAGTCAAAATATGTAACTAGCAAGATATTTAGGTTTTACGGTTATCTGTTTAACAAAAACTACTTTAAATCTCAACTGGTGTCTAATGAGTTTTAACTTAAACAGTCGTTAATGTGTCAGTGGTGAAGTACCAGAAAACATCAGAAAAATTCAGTAGAAAAGGATCAGTAGTGAATTCAACCACTCAGAAAATGTGATAATCATTAGAGATAGATCTAGGTGATAGTTGTTGCAGACTGTACACCAGTTACAGCTGAAAATCCTGATCATTTCTTTCGTCATCTATGAATAAAGGAGGGACATAATCACTAAGTTCCTTAGACATGCTGAGGTTTATTACGCTTTGGCAGTTACATTCTAGGAGTTATTCAACGAAAGGAACCGGGGGTCTGATCACATAAGTTTTACAGTGGTTTTTCAAATTTCGCCCATCCATCAACAAAAAATCTCAAGATTATAAAACTTTAATACTAAAATAATAAACCGTCAATAAAGTCTACCCTGGCTTTAGTGGCTTATATATTTTCTGCCTTGTTTCTTACGTCTGTAAAGTGAGAGTATGTTGTGAAAATCGGTAAAGATAACAAAGTTTTTGTCATAGGTTTACGGATATTGTTGGGTGTCAGTGAAATTATGAAACTATCAATGTTAGAGCACAATTAGAAACCTCCGAGCACTAAATGGCCGTTTCGTCTCGAGTATGGGACTCATTAGCAGTACGCATCCACCAACTCGTCGCACTTGAGAATCGGACAAAGTACCTTCGATATGACTCGCGATCACTTTACTGCTGAAACACTGGACTAGCATCCCACAATGTTAGTATCTAACTTCTGTCATTCCACGAAAGTGAGCGACCTCATCGATTGTCTTCGGTGAGTAACCGTCTAACCCCCAACACTGAGGAACAACACTGGTCATGGATACTCTAAGAAGTTTCTCATGAAACGAGTCACTAATAATCACATGATAACTTTTCATAACAGGATTGTGAAGATTGTTTTAAACTGAAGCGTTTTCGTTGAAATTTCCATCAACCAAATTAACTAGTCGTAAAATGCCATACAATGAACATGCAAGATTAATTATTCTGACTTCTCGGAAGCTAGGAAAACATAGGAATGAACTGATAGGGAACATATATATATATATATATCCCACAAGTCGAACAGTCTGGTTTCATTGATTTCCACATTCAGTTCACAAAACACACAACTTCAAATAATAATTTCTCCATGCATTGTTGATACACACCGATTTGCAATAAAGTAAACTTTTAAATTTATTCTGTCTATGATATTTTTTTTAATTCGGACAGCAGAGAAAAAGAATATTATCATGAAAACAACTGCTGTTTGTTTTAGGCATCAAAAATACAATCCGTACATGTTTCTACCATAAATCTATTGTGTTTCTTTACTGTGTGTTTCTTTTCTGTGTTGTTTTATGATGAAAAGCCACATTGAGACAAACAAGTAAGTGTAATAAGAGAAAATCTGTCTCTTTTTACCGGTCACTATCTTAGCCCTGTAACAATGATTTATCGGTCGGAATGTAAAGTAAATGAATTGTTACAGATTTTAAGGTGTTTTTTTTAAAAAAAAATTTTGTAGAAAAATGTACACAACATTTTTTTTTGTGTAATTCATAGTTTTTATTCAGTGAAATGTGAGAATTTAATTTTGGTAATAAAAAAAGGTGTGAGGTTGCACAAAATCTCTAGACTGATGAGACTGAGACATTAACACCGTTGGATGCCGACCTATCGGCTCAGAGGTTAAGCGTCCGCATGCAAAGCCGAAGCTCCTGGGTTCGAGTTCTACGGGTAGCAGCAATCGCTGATGAGTACCATACTTGGACGAAACGGTTATCCAATGTTTCAAAGCCCAGTATGATTTGTAATTACCGGTTTTGAAGTGATTCTTTTAACTGAAATATAAGTAATATCATTGACCTAACTTACAAGTACAAATTACTGAATATTTGTTACCAAAATTCAACTTAAAGTTACACCAGTTGTATCAAGTAGTTTTAATGTCCAGTTGTGATAATTACCGATTTAATTCACTAATTACTTCAGTCTACTATGATTTTGATAAATCAAAGTAGACAGTTTGAATCTAATTTACTCACTGACATGATGAATCAATCAATGTTAGACCACAGAATTAGAAACCTGGAAACACTGAAAGATGGCCGTTTCGTCCTGGTATGGGACTCATCAGTGGCATTTTGCATTTACAACTCCTGCACCTCGCAGGATTCGAGTCCAAGACTTACGATCTTGCACGTGATCGCCAGTTTTTCAATTTCAATCACATTATCAATAATTATTAATAATTATTTGAAAAAATGCCGATTTATATTCTACAAAACTGTGAATATCAGAATAAATGTAAGTTGAATATTTGTAAAAATAGTTCATGGATCCATTTCTAAGACTAATTTGAAATTCGAAACAAAATTTCACTGAAATATGAATTTATGTATAAAGAAAGTGTCAGTTCATTTAGTCAATACTAAACTTGAAGATATTTGTTCATTCAAATTAACTTGATAGATTACCATGAAGGAGAATTATTTTAAGCAATTAAAAGATGTAATTAATCGTATTATTGAACACTTAGTTTGATAGATTCATATCAGTATATTTTTTAAAAATGCGAATCCCCGAAATCCCCCAGAATATGGTGTAATAACTGACGTGTCTTACGATAGAATTCCTCATTAGTTCATACCTATTCAACACCGTTGGATAATGGCTCTTGAAATCTAGAGATTACATGATTGCGTGTAAAATTGAATGCCCTGACTTCAAATTCTGCTAGTATCAGGAGTTGTGGATGCTCATTATCAAATTCAAATTTTAAAAAAAACCATTCAACTAATATGCAACCTCGGAGTTTTTCTTGAGATGATTTTCTATTTCCTATCTTAGTTTATTTCCATACAAGAATCATCCAAAGTTATTAATTTTTCATTTAAACAAAATGTGAATAGAATTTGATTTAACGAAACAGTCAGTCAGTCAGATGCAACGTAGAAATTTCTTACGTAAGTACATCAGTTCCTGTCGCCATACCACATCAGCACAGAGATATAATTGTCAATTCAAATCCAATAGTAGAAGAGGTAGTTAAGGTATTAGAAGTAATCGGATAGGTTACGATTAGAAGATATTATTCAAGAAGTATAATTCAGTGAGTGGATAAGTTTAGAAAGTGAAAACTAGAGGTGTTGAAGAATCCAGAAGATTAGGATTTGAGAGAACACAAAGAATAAATGCACTGGCGCCATTGCGAACGGTTTTGAGCCATGTCATTCAAGGTCTCTAACCATCGATTATTTTCATCTCGTGGACCCCGACGAGGTAATCGACAACTACCGACATGATTCAGTCCACCTGTCAATGATTTCATAGATTTCTGCTTGAATCATGATTATTGTAATAACTGAAAAATCTTCAGCCAATCCGTTCTCAATTTCTTCTCTTTAGATTCTGTTCATCTATAGCTAGTCTTATAATCGATTGTTATCGACGTCAAACGTTACTGATTGGAAGTGTAGTTCGTACACTTGCTGGGTCATTGATTCAATTCTACTTTAGTTCTTTTTTCTTCTAGTTCTGTTTTGCGCCAACGTTACTTTTGCATCCTACCCTAGTACACAAAGTACCATCAGCCTACAAGAATTATAGGCAATTAATAAATCGGAGATTTGTATATAAAACGCATTTGATTCACTCGCACATTCCATCTTAGTTAATGTCTGATCTTATTAGTGAATAACCATTTCATAACTTAAACCTATTCAATATTATTATCGTGATGGCATTATACTTGCAAACCTTTAATAAAAAAAAATTATTTAACATTCACCAATTACATAACACCTTTTTTTTAAAACTGATACATTATATTCTGTGTATTATTATGTAACCCCTGATGAGATAACATTTTTTATCTGATCTGTTGTTATTCTTTGTCTCACCTGATACTATCGATTATAAGGTCATGGAGATTATAAGGTTATAGAGATTGTTGAGTTTTATCGTAATTATGAATCAGCCCATGTTAAATTACCACTAGACGGCAGTTTTATCCTAATATGGGACTCATTAGCAGTAAGCATCCAACATTCCGAAGGAAGGAGTCGAACCAAGGCGTTTGGCCTCTTCCGTGAACACTTAATCTCTTGACCACGGTACACTACTTATTATGATAATTATTGTCTTAAAATTTTATTTAACTGATAAACTTATTTCAGAGCATATTACACATATTACTCAATATTGCTATTAATTTTTATTTGAGTAGTTTAACTCATTAAAGTTTTACAACATCGTGAATTATTTAGAATCAGTTTTTAATTATCATCTGATTATTTTAAAATGATTGACGATCCTCATCGAATTCTCATTATATTTTTGAATTAATCATAAAAAATCCAATCATTTCATAATTCCCGCCAACTTTGAGCATTTAATAAAACAAAGCAATGTTCAATGTGTTCAATGCGTGAATTTATACACATCGGAAAGAAAAAATCATAAACAGTTGAACTTACCTCCTTAAACCATGACTACAGTGAATCAATAGAAAATGTATAAGAATTGAAAATAATAAAATTAGATTTTTATGCATTGAACTGATGAATTTCATTTTTTTTTCACTGTTTCGTAGAAATTACGCGCGTTAATCAAATTAATAATAGTACAGATAAATAACTTGTGCAGTCTTGTCAATTAAAAGAACTAATCAATTTCTAGAATCAATTTCATGTATTCAAATAATAATAAAATGAGATTTCAAATAAATTTGTTTAATTGAGTCCAAAAGGTAATTGATTATTGCGATCCAAAACAAAAAAGACTATTTATAGTAAAATTGCTGGTTTTTATACTATTCACAGAAGAACAAAAAGCATCTAAACATCACAATCTACATTGTGTGCGATACACAAACACGAACATACGCACACACACACGCACAAACACACAGCAATATATTTGTGTGCAAAAAAGCACATTAATTACGGATGCTCATTGTTGAAATATTGAATAAGTTAACCCTAGTAAAACAAAATATGATTGTGGGCGATTTGTAAAATGAAAGTAGTGTGATATGATTGGTTAGTTTGTTGGTTTGTTGTTTTTAAAAAAAATTTTATACGCTTATTCTTTTATATTGGTTTGTATTGAATTACATAATATGTTTTGTAATAAATAATATTTGGATTTTGTGCAAAAATTCATAGTTTGTTTGATTCGAATCAATATGATGGATGATAGAGAGTGAAGATGGGTTGTTTTTAAAAATTGGATTACTAGAGTACAAATGAATAATAGGAATGAATCCCTGTTATTACAGTTCATGATAGTGAATATGTATTAACTCCACCTGGAGCCCTTCTAGGATTACTGTCGGACCAAAGCCGGGATAAAGTAGGAGGGTTGGGTATGAGGGGTTAGCGACCCCATCCCATAGAAATCCAACTCGCTTAAAAACATGCTAATCAGAAAAAAATAATTCACTGGTCAGCGGACTGTGCTCGACTGAGGGGTAACAGGAGTAAGTCACTCAGCATACTTGAAAAAAATCTATCCGGATTGTGACGGATCTTCTATGATATGGTGCTATTCACAATGCTCAACTTGGTACTGAAAGTTATTTAAAGAATGAGATTGTTGGGGATGTTAGATCCCCAGAACTCGCTTGATAAATGCCTTATCTTGGATTTCACGTTTGCCAGCATGGGCTCATCAGTTGACCTTGAGATTTCGTTTCCCATCAGGAAAATCGATGGCCGTGATTGGCTGCTGTATATTTTAGTGTGCCATTTTCGTAACTGTCCCAAGGACGTTTCTATGATGTATAAATAAACGAGAGTTGTGTGCTTGATTGTATTGTGTGATTGCTGGGTGTTTGTAGAATATACTTTCTACGCTTACAAAACCTTCTGTTTTACTGCTTGGGATTCAAGGTAACCTACCTGGACGCTGGTAATTGTCTCGTTTTCGTTTATCGACTAAGGTGAACTTGTAATAGCCTCAAGCGTACCTACTGACGAGCCCTACAGAGATCACTGATTTCCTAAAGTGTAAACGCTAGGCTATTGAATTCCTGTTATCAAATTTATGATGTCTATAAAACTACTAATGTATATAACATGTAGTTACTTCAACCGATTTGAATGAAAGAAATAGGTCTGCTTTCTAGCAAAAACGTGTGTGTGATTCGTTAAATTTCTCCCTCTAATTTTTCAAAACTTGATAACGAAATTTTTATATACCATAAAGACTTAAATTTACTGATAGGCTGAAATACTCTCCTACAATTTAAAAGGATACAACATGTCAACTACCTGAGATTATACCGTTGAGGTCTACTAATCTATAATGGAATGAAGTGAAGCACTACGAAATGTTGGTGCCTTGTGGTGACCAGTCGTCGAAAATCGGTTCATACTACGTTCAGAATACAGGAGACCATACATACATACTAGTCCGAAATTTGGATAGATTTATCTGACCATAACATTGATTAGTAAGGAACTGATCTGGTTCAATGTAAACTTCCAATCTTATGGAGTTCACTGGATCATTATTGTAAACAGTAACAACGTGTCCGATCACTTCATAATTGCTGTCAACATGTTCTGCCTTTTTTGTACTGACGATTTGACTATTGATTCATTCAGGCAGACAGATACAACGCAGAACTTCGTACGTAGGTACATCAGTTCAGGTTGCCATGCCCCATCAGCACAGAGACGCAACTGTCAGTTCAAATCCAACAGTGATAGCAATATTCGAAGTATTAGCAGTAATAGAGAAGATTAGGGAGCGAAGATATGATTCGAAAAGTATAATTCAGTAAGATAAATTTAGTAGGAGAAAGGTAGAGATTATGAGGAATGCCGAAGCTTAGAATTTCATAGAACACAAAGAGTGGATGTCCCTGCGCCATTGCAAACGATTCTGAGACATGTCATTCAAGATCTCTAATCATCGGTGACTTTCGTCTCGCGGACCCCAGCCAGGTAGTCTACATCTATCAACATGACTCAGTCCACTAGTCAGTGACTTCATGGATTTCTGTCATGTTTTGGTCTGGCCGCCCCAAGCTTTCTTCCAACCAACTCCTACACTGCAAAACATAGCTCGCCGAGGCAGTCGGTGGTTAGGCATACGTAACACATGTTCCAACCACTTCAACTGATGAAGTTTCACCACTTCATCTATTGATTTGCCATCCCTACCTAGAACTCGTTTCCTAACTACAGCATTGCTTATACGGTTGTTCCATTCGATAAACATTGAGCATATTTTATAAGATTTTTTTGAATATGTTCCTAGAAGCCTTCAAACACCTAAAAAACCGATATTTTAGACATTGTAGACACTAAACATCGTTTGGATAAGGCATATCAACTCAATGTTACCTTACAATTTTTTGGGGTGACTAATAAACAGTCAACCTCTAGTATTCTGTATGTTGTTGGAGCTGTTGTTCTGCGTTTGAAATATAGATGAGTGCTTACCTTTTTTTACTGTTATGTTAAATATTCCTTCATAAAACATCAACAAATTTTGTTCAACTCTTTCCTTCAACTGATTACATCATTATTAAGTATTCTTATTTTGACTCTCTCAGAATAGTAGCCTAATTCAACTTACTTACCAACTTACACTGATTACGCAACCACTTGCTTCTAGCCCTTTAAACTCTTGCTGTTATCATTGTTGTATAATATTCTTTTGAATAAGGTAAATGTTTATTGTCCTTCATTCAATCTATCAAAATTATTTACCCCCTCGTCATTGCTATACTGACATAAATTTCAACTAAACGGTTTTACATAAGTAATGTTGTGAGGTCCATTTATCTGCGTGTTCGGACGGTTTATAAATCAGAAGGCGAATTCGAAGTAATGAATACGTTTATATTTCGGACACACCACATAGCAAAGTTGAAAAGCAGCGAAAGAATGAGCGAAGGAAGCGGATGAATAGGCGAAGAGAATTGGAGAAGGCTGAGAGCCAACTCAAAGAAATAGAGCATGAGTAAAAATATCAAGTCAGACAAATATAAGCACAGACATGAATATAAGCGACGAATGATTGACAAGATCAAATGATACGTCATGTGAGCTCATACAAACCAGACAATAATAAGGAGGAATGGTACATATACGTTGTTGCCACGTAAATGGCTTGGTTAAATAGATTAATCGAAAGGGCCTAACCAAGTTAGTTGTATGCGAGCTGGAATATATGTGGAGGCACTATAATGTAAGCCAAATTCCTGATTATGGCTTTGTTTTGAAAAAATAATACACAGTCTTCAAAAAAAATCTTATCCATGACCTTAGTATATTATTTTCAGATTCTTATCTTTTGTATTGTTTGATTTACTGATGGATGGTATGTAAAAGAAAATTTCAACACACCGTTCACTACGCAGAATTTGCAATGATCGTACTAAAATTTCCACTGCTTCGCATAGTTTTCACATGAATCATTGATAAAGTTCAACTGTTTTTTACAAAAATAAAAGTATACATGTTAAGCTACACATTTTTGAAACCATGAATCGATCAATGATAGACCATACCATTAGAAACCTGAAAGCACTGACAGTTGGTCGTTTCATCTTGGTATGAGACTCATCAGTGGCAGTGTGCATCCACGACTCATGCACCGTGCAGGATTGGAACTCTGGACCTTCGGTATTGTGTGCGAACGCCTTAATGTGTAACATGCATAAATGTAGTTTTTTTTTGTAACACCAAATGGATACTAAAACTTAAATGGGGAAAAACTTTTTATTCATCAGTGTATTTGCCTGCTTGTTTTTATTCTCAGGGTAAAGATTCAGATCCTTTGATTCTTCGGTTCATTTTGTCAATATTATTGAAGTTGAGACAAACAAGTAAGTCCTTCGTAACTTTAAACTCTTCTTTTCTGTTTTGTGATTAGTTGGTTTGCTTTCTGTTAGGATATTTATCAAATCTCTTGAAGAAATTATTTTGTAAGTCTAATTCCATTGGTCAATAATTAAGATCGTCTTCTTAAACAATCAAATTCATATAGTTGTAAATGTTGTTTCCTATCGGGGTTAGTATTCAAAATCGACTTAACTGTATAAGTATTCATTGTCTGTAATGTCTTATGCTCCTCTTCTTATTCTACTGTATAAAACTTCATATTTTCTGGGTGCTTGTAGAATACACCTTCTGCGCCAAAATGAAGACTTTTTGATACCGTTAGTGGGGACTTGGGACGCTCGGAAGACAGTAGTCTATAGTGTCAATGGATCACTTGTCTTAGCTCTCATTTACCGACAAAGGTGAACTCGTAATAGCATTCAAGCATATCAAATGACGAGCATAACACTTTCTTTGATTCCCTAGTTTGTAATATATTATCAAGATCATCGTTTTTATTGCATGAGTAGAATCATTCCCTTCCAAACTTGTTTTACCAATAAAAAGCTCTTTCGTTAAGAACAAAAAGCTTTCTGTTCTTTTGTTTACAATCGTATAAACTGAATATTAAACTGACTTTTGTTTAGTTCAATCGGTTTCAAAAATGTGTAACTTAACAGTCTTTACAACCCCGTAATGCAAATCACCTGTGCTCAGTAGTGACTAGCTTCGTGAAGAATCTTCTCCGACTTCTAGTGGGAAGTGGTTACTAGTGAAGTTCAACCTGTTCGGGTGTAGACAGTAACAACTGAAGACTGTGTATGAGGTCGCTCAACTCCGCGAATCGGTCAAGTCAGACATTAATACCGTTAGATACCGGCTCAATAGTCCAGAGATTAGGCGTTCGCGCACAATACCGAAGGTCCTCGGTCCGAATCCTGTGGGGTGTGTGAGTCATGGATGAGCACTGCCACTGATGAGTCCCATACCAGGACGAAACGGCCGTCTTTCA